GTCAGGTGAAGCTGCCACCACCGCCTCCAGCCCTGGGAGGCTGCCACCACCATGGGAGACAGCTGGTGCTCTGTGGGATCACAGCTGTTTAGCTCCTCCAGCTGGTTATTGGCTTAGTGGTGGCAGTCCCCAGGTGGATTTTATTTTCTCAAGAGGGTATGTGTGTATATTTGTGTGGGGCAGCGAGATGGTGTTCCTGCAGTGCCCAGGCAGCATCCCTGTGTGTGGGATGCTCGTGGTTGGTGCTGCAGGGAAGCTTGTGGTTGGCAGCACAAGGATACTTATGGTCCAGGAATGCTCAGACTATCCATGCAGGGAGCTTATGGCACGGGGATACTTGCAGCCAGTGGTGTGGGGTTGTGAATTCCCAGGACAAGGGTCTGTGACACAGGACAAGCAGAAAGTTGTATTTTTTCAAGGTGTCTCTGGTAAGGAGGTGAGTCTCCAGTTATAGATTTGTCTGTCCTGCACAGAGACAAAGGCTGAGTGGACAAAACTGGTTGGGTCACAGCAAAAGCACTGCTTTTTGGAGCCTTGCTCTCCATGTGAGCCAGGGCAGGAGTCTCCAAGGGGCGCTTTAGGGGGATGTGGGGTATATGGACATTTCTTTACCCAGCCAAGTCCAGCTGAGCATGCATTGCTCCTTCCCAGCAAGCGGTGGGTGGATCAGTGCTCCGGAGGGATCACGTCAGTCTCACAGCCCTCAGAGTGGAGCCCAAGGGTGTCCCTGCGGGGACGAGGTCTCTGGTGAAGGGCCCAGGGTGATGCAGGCTGCCTGCTGTGCTGGCACAGGGGGTGCCAGCTGGGCCAGGCAAGGGCATGCCTAGCTCCGTGCAGCCAGCACAGCCGGCGCCAGGCGAGCACCCCAGGGGGGTAAATAAGGGTTTGCACCAGGCCGGCTGCCAGCAGCGCAGGTGAGGTGCCTGCCCTGGCCGGCTGCTCCCTGGGAGCCCCCTGCACCCCATGGGGAGCTCAGCCCAGCCTGGCATTTCTGCCTTAAGGGTGCAGCCCAGCCCCATGGGGAAACTGAGGCACAGGGTGCAGTGCACCAGAGGGGGCTGCTTGGTCAGGGGACCTGGTTGGAAATGTGCCATGTGGGGCTGCGCCATCCTGGGCCCTCTGCCAGCGAAGGTCCGAAAAGCCGAGGGCCGGCAATTTCACCTTGGCTGGGGCTGGATCCAGAGCGCACCATGGGTGAGGGTCTTGGCCCCAACTGGCGAATGAACAGCCATGCTGCCTTTGCCCCAGCCGGCATACAGCAGAGCACACGGGCCCTACATTTGTAAGCAATTTGCTGAGCGCTCCGGAGGTGCTTCCCGCCTGCTGCTTGGCAGCCAGACGCCGCACAGAGGCTCCCTGCCTCCCTTGAGGCCTCACTCAGGCCCGGCCCCACGCTGCCGAGCCTCGTCCTGCCCGGGCAGGCACTGGCGAATGCGCCAGAGGGGAATGGGGAGCAGGGTGGGGGCGCAGAGGACACTTTAGAGGCGTCGTGTTTGGGAGCGGGGCCACACAGGGGGAACCCATGGCTGGAGTTAACTCTCGGGGTGCACAAAGCCAGGGTTTCCCCTGAAAATCTTCCCTTCAGGACTTTTTGCGTTTCAATGCTGGATCCATGTTTTTCTGGGCTCATCTTCCCGTGATGTGAGTGTGTTCCTGGCAGGGGGTGGGTGTGTGGATCAGACCCGTGGGTTCTCCTGCTCCAATGCAAACCCAAAGGAGGTGACAATGCAGCTAGGAAGGGTCAGGCCAGCGCATCCCAGTGCTGTGGTTGGATCAGCCTTGACCCCGCAGCCCTTTCCCAGCCCAACTTTGCGGTCCCCTGGCTAGAGCTGTGTCTCCAAACAAGCCAATGTGGGAGGGCTGTGGGGTTGGGAATGGCTTGGCCCAGCCTCTGCTGAGCCCCAGAACATCTGGGTGTGAAACGCCAGGGAGCCTGGAGCTGCCAGGGCACCCACAGGGAGAGAAGGGACTGGAGAAACGGGGAGAAAAGTGGAGGAATCAGTCAAAAGGAGCACATGGATGGAACGAGGAAGAGGGATGCAGGGAAGTATCCCATCTCTTGCCTTCCTGTCACCACATCCCCAGGAGCATGGTGGGGGCTGGCGGCACCCCCTCGGCTGCCCTTGTGCTGCCCTGCTGCTTCACTCCATCTTGGCGCTGGCTCCCTGCTGAGGCAGGGCTGCCTGTGGGGCTGCTTTGCTGGCCCCGGGTGCAGTATGGTGCAGAGGTGTGCAGTGCGACAGCACTGGTGAAGGGCTCCTGGCTGCCTGGCTGTGCTCCATTTTCCCCTCTATCCCTCTGCTCTTCTTCCCTTTGCTCGTGCCTTCGTACTCACAGTGCCAGGATGCCAGGCCCCTTTTCCTACCCACACTTTACTGTCCAAACTCTCTAGGTCTCCAAGCAGTGATTTACCCAGCTACAAAACAGG